CTGATCCATAATTCTTTAATAGAATCGTATGAATTTGCAACAACAATACGTTTATTTCCCAGACGAATTTGAAAAACAGGACCAAGTCTTTTAGCCAATTTTGATAAAGCAAGAGAATGATTTTCTCCTAATTGAAGTAAACTTCCAAAAATAGGCCAACCTGGAGCTTCTGGAAGACCATTAATTTTTGGAATATCTGTTGAACTGAGAATTTTGAAAAGAATCCATATGATGACAATAATACCAATCCAAGCAACGAACGCCATTTTATTCGAATGATACAACGAAAATATTGTTTGTTTGCGACGTTATTTTTTATCTGTAAACTCATAATGAAGATAAGACATTTTTTTCTTTTTTCTTCTCGTTAATGTACTATCTTCCATTCTTATCAATAAATGCATAACAGCAAGGTCCGTAATCTTTTCTTTTCTGGATGAGTTTTTTTTATTCTATACTGAACTTGATTGTATGTGCGCTTCTTTTCATAGTGTTCAGATTTCCAAAAAAGTAAAATGCTCTCATATATCATCAAATTTCAGAAATTACTTTCATACAGATATCAAACAAATTGTAAAATTCTGAAATTACCGTAATTACCATGTGAGCAATCGAAACGAACTCTTATTTAAAAAAAGTACTTTCCGGAAAATTTCGATCCTTTTTGAAATTTCTTCAAGTGTATCCTATGAATACATATAATTATTCATATAATAAAACTAAGGCCCTACCCCAAGAGAAAGTCAAAATCACGAAAATTACCGAAATTTCTCAGTAATTCCCAAAATTTCCTCTCCTCCTTGGAATAGGATCTTATTTCTATCGTATGAATAATTGTGTATGTTCATATAAAATACCTTGAGAAATTTTGGAAATGATTGAAAGTTTCTGGGTTTTGTTTTCGACAGATTAGAATATGGCGATGAAAATTTCCATAGATGAGAAAATTTATTTTTATGGAAATCTAAACATGCCTCAAAACTTAGTCATTATATGTGGGATGTACGTATGTTTGTCATCTTTGGGGTGTTTATTGATAGATTACAGCGAAACAGTTTTTTTTCAGCTTTCCCAATTATAATATGATGGACAAGTAGTCTAACTTCTCCTCTATTGATCTATGCAAGATCGAGATTGATAACTGTTTGTGTTCAAAAGATATAAAGATTTTACTGAATACTACTCACGAAATTTTTTCAAAATTCGAGCAGCTAGCAAATATTTTCTTGCATAAGTCTTTAATCGACTTCGACTTCGTGACATAATTTATTAACTTTCGAAGGTTCTTATTTTCTATTAAAAACATCATAAAAAGCCATATATTGAATTTATTTTCATGATAATGATTCAATATCTTCAGAAAGTTCTCGTCAATTTTTATTGTTTTGGTGTTTCTATCACAAAAATCTTTCAACTCAAATCGGTCAACCGAAAAGAATTTTAAGATGTTTACATAAATAAAAGTCATTAATCATCATCATTTAGTGCTTCTTTGATCTCTTCAACATAAATAACGGCTTTTTAAATGTTGTCACATGTAAACTATAAATTCATTCTTGTACCAATTCACTCACTTCAGTGAAAGTGAACTTCGTTCATGCATATATGTTTTCATATGGGCCTAGGCGAACTCTTTAGGATTCAGGGCATAGTGTCTCATTGGTAAAGTGTTGTAGGTGTGATAGTGACTGAAAAAAATGATCTCACTAAGTCGAAGCCCACTAAAAACTTATAGAAGATAATATTTTTTAGCTGCTCAGATTTTGAAAGAATTTCGTGAGTGGCATTTAGTAAAATCTTTATGTCTTTTGAACACAAACAGTTATCGATTTCGGCCTTGCATAGATCAATAGAAAAGGATTTAGACTACGTGTCCATTATATTATAATTGGGAAAGTATATTATTCTCAAAGCAAATTAAGCTCATCTTCAAAACTCATTACGTATTCAAGGAGAAAAACGACGGGAATTTTCCATTGACTTTGTTAAAAGATAGAGCAACTTTGACTCTAGATAGTAAGAATAACTCGAGCTATTTCTCTCGTTTCGTTTAACAGTTATTCAAAAAATACCCATAAACATTTAACCCTAAAATGGATATTAGTTATATTATATTGCTATTTCTATTACACAAGACAATAATATCACATTATTCAAATAACTGTGATTTGAGTTTATTATAATCACATGTTCAATGTCATTTTTTCACTCTTAATAATTATCGTAACACATTCTCATGTATACATCACTGAGAAATCAATCGAACTATTCCATAATTTAAGAACAATGCTTGTCATTTCCAAAGACATTCCAAATTGAACAAACACACTCGTAAACGATCCTAAATGGCTGTATTACATGACAGAGGAATATGGTCGAACTACTGAGTCATGTAATACAGCAAAATAAAATCATATGCGGTGAAATATGGATTTTTTAATTTTCATTCTGGAATATTACTCTTTGGTTAATTTGAATCCTAATGCTGAAGTGCCCTTTTTTGATATTATACGCAGCCGTTTGAATCATTGGTGCCATAGCTAACGGATGGTTATTTCTACTATAGTTACAATATGATTATTTGTACCACAGATACTATATGATCATATGGTAACTATGTTATAGATACACACTGGTGAATTTTCGTTTCTAGACCAAATCATTTTCAGTCTAGGGAATAGTCTAAAAAATCTTATGAAATTTTATAATTGATTTTCGTAATCAATTATATATTTTTATTATTTTAGTTGATTAAGAACATAATCAATTTCTTTTCTTTAATATTTAGATCTTCGAAATATTTTTAAAATGCTTTTCTTTAGACGACAGATAACGATTGCTTTTTCATGATATATGAATGTTTCTTAAAACTGAATTTTATTTTCGTAGATACGAACAATATTTACAAATGTTGATGCAATCAGGAAAAAAATGTCAAATGAAAGTGATTTTTTTTTTCTTTTAAGATTTAATGTTTTTTTATTATTTTATTTTGATTGAATTCTTTTAAGTATCATTTCACATTCGATTCATATTTTTCTTTTGTTAGAAACTATTTTGTCGAGAAAATGATAATAAAAATTTTCATCTAAAAAGATAATTGTTTGAATAATGGATGAAAATATTTTTGAGCATAATTCAATTTTCTTCTCTAGATTAGTAATCCATAAATAAATTTGAATAGATTTGTTTGTACTTTATTAAAATTAATTTATCCAAATCGATGATTTTGAGAGAGAAGTTTCTCATCTACATAGTTATCGATTAATAATAAAAACAATTTGGTCTTTGTTTTATATTAATCGAATGTATTCTTTAGATTCATTCAAATCTTCAAATGTTTTCAAATGATTGATTCATGTTCACTATTGTTGTTCAACTATGATATTTTCTTGAAAATTATTCATTAAACAAATGAATTAAATTTATAAGACTATTTTTAATTAATTGATATATAGTTCTACTTAGTCGTTTGTATACTATTCTTCGAAAAAATTGCATTGGACAAAATAGAAGACAATGTAAATACTCAATATGAAAAAAATAAAAATTGAAAATAGAAGAACATGAATGAATCTTTGTTTATTCTACTAATTATCAACATATTATGCTTTGACAGATGACAATAATTAAAACTTCAAACTAGGTACTTTTAATCTTAAATAGTAAAAAAACAAATAATCTGTAAATTTATTTTTCTTCAGTGTTTATTCAAGAGAAACACAACTATATATCTGATTTTCTTAAACTGATTTTTTTAATGAATACTTCTTCATACTAACAAACTCGTTATTCATATTTAGAATGTAAAGAACAGTTCTGTAAAATGACTATCATCACGGAATCGTTCTAAAAACGCTCGAGATTTTTCTTGGATGGTGGTATTTTTCAATTTATATATATTCTTAAATGTCTTGAGATCATCTGTGCTTTCTATGACACTTACTGTACTCGTTATATAACAACAAAAACAAAGTCATTTACTCTTAATCTATTGGCACAATCAAATATTTAACATTGAAAATTGATATTCTTGCAGAAAAATGAAACTTTCAAAAGATCATCATCGATTTTTGATGTTGTGACAACTAATCATGATCATGATTGATACAACACATGAGGTTTTTCATTCAACAAATTCAAATTTCTTTTTAATCATAAATAACCAAAAAATGCACAACAATAGATAAAAGACATGCAAGGCGGAATTAACAAATTGATATATATAGAATTATATATAAGCAGTAGATTAAATCAAACAAAAATATCACGTGAATCAAGTAAGCATATTTTCGATAATGATCCATTTATATTAAGATAATCAGAAAACTACATTGAATAAATATTTGTCTCACCAATAAAAGTTTTCTAACTGATCAATCACTTATTAGTCGGGACAATTCGCACCATGTAAACCCTAATGAGTTCTGATATACACGGAAAATAGTTCACATCATTAGCTTATTGCTGCAAAGATACTGTGTCTTAACACTATTTTTCAATTTAATGTCATGGTCTTAACCAAGAACACTTGACAAAACTGATTTTTTTGAATTTCTACTTGAAACTTTGCAGAGAGACAAGTCTTCACGACTAAATTTTATTGTGAAAGTTTTCAGATCATTTGATTTATCCACTATTCTGAAATAAGAACATCAAATCTATAAGTCTATATGAGCGATGTAAAAGATATGCTTTTACCATAATCGCATTTCAGGATAAAAATAATTACAAGATTTCAAGTTTTTATCAATGAACTCTTCTCAATAAGATCTATCACTGTGTAAAACTTCAAGTTGAAATACAAAAGTCATTTTTTCTACTTTTCCTACAGAGAAACACAGCATTGATTTTAATAATGCTGTCAAAATACAGTATTTCTGTACCAATAAGCTAAAGGCATGAACAGGTTTTTTTAGAATATTCATAGTTCATATGGATCTGAATAATACACATAGTCCTAATGTAAAAGCAATTAATCAGTTAGACTACTTCTCTCATTAGTCTCTCATTGAATGTTCATCATTTTCTGCTCTTTTTCTGCTGATTTCTAACCATGATTCGAGTACTTTCTTGTTTCTTGGTTCAAAGCGACATTTAAATGGTTTCGGCTCTGCAACAAGAGCTGTAGGAGTTTGGTTGGCTTCTATTGCATCTAATATGGCAGCATCTTTTGGATCATTAGGTTCAAGAATTCGAAATGCTGAAATAAATCGAATAAAGAATGCAAAAAGTTCTCGATTGGCCAGATGAGATCCCAAACACATTCTACTTCCAGCTCCATAAGCAAAATGTGGTGTACTATCAACATCACCTAAATATCGTTCAGGATTGAAAGTATATGGATCTATAAAATGATTTTCATCATAATCACCAGCAAATGCATTCAGAAAAAATAATGTTCCAGCAGGAATGATTACTCCATTATAATCAATATCACTGATACTTTGTCGTGGAAGACTCAATGGATTAATTGTGAAATAACGAAGAATTTCTTTGTAAAGAGCAGTAACATATGGAACTCGTTCTTCGACTAGACATTTTTCCCATGCATCACCATCAGGATAAATATCTTGAATTTCTTGATATGCACGTTCTTGAATTTGTTGTCCATGTGCTGATGAGAGATAACTTATACCATAAATAATATTGGCAGGAATTGTGTCAAGAGTAGCACTCAGTAATGACATACCGATACTTTTAATTTCACTTTCATTCAATTTTGCTGTAGTATCTCTCAAAATATTACCGATGATACATGGCTTTTCTGTACCATTGGCAATATCTTTCTTTAAACTATCTAGAAGAATTTGAAGATAATGATCACGACGAAGTCGATAAGAATTAGCTTCACTAGATTTAGCAGGAAAAAGTCGAAGAAGTGGAATATAATCTTGCCAATTATCTGATATAGATCGAAATCGTTGCATTGCTGCTTGAATTTCTACAATTTCTTCCAAACGTTTATCAAATGATGAAGAAAAACGTGTGCCGTAAGTAAACATAAGAGTTGTATTAAGAGCAAATCGTTTAAGGTGAGGAATGATATTAATATCTATTCTTCCATCTTCACATTCTTTCAAAATTTCATTGATTACCGTATATGATTCAATATCGACAATTGGCATGTACGATTGCACAGCAGGCTTATTCAATGCTGTTGCAGTTGCTTTACGACGTCGTTTACATGATTCATCCCAGGGAGATGTTCCAATTGTAAATATTTGACTACTACTACTAACAACAGTATGAAATGTATATAACATAGGTCGACTAATCAATGAAAATTGATTTTTGATCCATAAGTCTTTAATAGAATCGTATGAATTTGCAACAACAATACGTTTATTTCCTAGACGAATTTGAAAAACGGGACCAAGTCTTTTAGCCAGTTTTAATAAAGCAAAATAATGATTTTCTTTTAATTGAAATAAACTTCCAAAAATAGGCCAACCTGGAGCTTCTGGAAGACCATTAATTTTTGGAGCATCTGTGGAATTGAGAATTTTGAAAAGAATCCATATGATAATAATAACACCAATGCAAACAATGAACGTCATCTTATTCGAATGATACAACGAAAATATGATTTGTTTACAACACTATTTTTTATCTGTAAGCTTATAATGAAGATAAAACATTTTCTTTTTTTTTCTTTTCGTCAACGTATTATATTACATTCTTCTCGATCGATGCACTATAACAAAGCTCGCAACCTTTTCTTTTCTAGGTCACTTTTTTTATTCAATACTAAGCTCGATTGTATGTGCATTTCTTTTTACTCTGTTATCTAAATAATGCATGTATAACAAATGGCATGTGTTCTTTTTTCTTTTGTTTTTCAACAGTACTGTGTCATGTTTTAGCAATATATGTCTTGTAAAAATCGAAAATTTGATTGTTGTATTTAGAATGTATTTTTATCATCTTTTGCTGTGGAAGCATATCATTAAACAATTGTTGTTTTTAGTGAAAAGGATTATTTTTCTATGAAAATCTGATTGTATAGCTTTTAAATATTATTTCACTTGTATAATTTGATCAATTATTGAATTGAAATATATTGAAGTTGTACGCGAAGAATTGCATTTGTAAAAGAAAATGGCTGATATTGTTCGAAAAATCTATAAAGATGTAACTGAGATGAAAAAAAAAGAAGAAATCAATCAAAATTAATTTTATGAATAAAGATAGATTAGCGATGATTGCATATAGTTGAAGTAATAACAATGTTGACAAGTATGAAAGTGTGTATTGAATAGATACTTGAATTATCATATGATATTTTTCAACATTACTGAATATTCCTAAGTGAATTTATATATTTATATATTTTTTGCATATGTAAGAAAATTAAACAATGATTTAGACTAAAAAATAAATCAAAATGATTGTTTAATATATGTATGTCTACATTAATATTACATCATCAAACAGAATTCTTCTCATAATTGATATTTTCATGATTCATAGTGTTAGTCTAAACTATCGAGATATTGTATTTCGAATTCATTTAATATTGTCTTTGTATTTGGATGTAGATTTTAATTAATGATCTAATGAAATGTTCCTACGTATTCTATTTGAAAATCGAAGACATCATCATTTATCATAATTTTCATCAAGTTAGTCGAAATATTCATTGCTCGGGATGCTATGAAAATATATCTATGATAAATTACTTCAACTGAATTTTATTAAGGTCAGATTGTGATAACAACATGAAAATGCAAAAAAGAATAAAGATTGTTTTGAATTTGTTGTAAAAGAAAAAAGAATATGAGCCATTGTCTGTTCAAACTATAAAAATTTGTTTCATATGTGATCTGATAAAGAATTAAATTATTTAATTAAAAAAAATGATTTTTTTATGGTAAAAAGCTTGTTTTTTTGAAAAAACCGAACTCAAAATTTTGAGAAACTGATTAGAGATTTGGATTCCTCGATTCCGATTACCTTTGGTCAAACTATGAAAATTCGTAATTTTTTGGGAAATTGCCTTTCGCTCGATGAACTCAGAAAGTTTCCGTTAAAAGTAAAGAGAACACGTATTGCGTTCCCGTTCCAAGAAACGGAGAACACAAAACAGTCTAACATAAAAAGACAAGAGAATATGTTTACAACTCTCGCCATATTGAAACAAAGCTAGAAAAATAAATTTTGAGATGCCTTCCCGTTTCTAGGAACAGGACGCTGACACTCCTAAAATCAAGGACAAAAGAATGAACAGGTGCAAAAGAGAAAGGAGAAAACGTATCCTTAAATTAGCCTTATACTATCGAGCTAAACAGAATTTAATATCATGTATATCCATTTATAGAAGATTCGTTCACTATTTATTAATTTACCATACTAATACCTGTAAATATCATCGATCTATTGTTCATATTATCGAATTGAGTTTTGAACAGATGATTGATGATGAAAAACCAATCATAACGATTCTTGAATATCTCATTCAAATTGTGATGAAAAAAATCCAATGATTTAGTTTATATCGATGAAGATTTTCAGAAAATTATCGTTCAATATCGACGAAATTATAAACATTTACCTATAATTTATTACAAAATGTTACTTTTACATTTTGTGTGCAAACTATGATGCCCACTTTCCTTGAGACAGCACTTAATTATCATCTCATCAATAATCCATCAGCAGCTATTAATATTTATCAACGTCTTATCGAAATTATCTTAAAATATTTCGATGATCGAAAATACATTGTCTCAGTATTTACACAAATAGCTCTTGAATCCAAAAATACAAATAATCAAATTGAAATGATCATTAATATTTATGATGGATTGTGTACATTTATTTATGAATGTCCAGCAAAAATTATACTTAAAGATGATGATTTGATTACTCTTATTATTGAACATTTACGAATGCTTGGAGATCGGTTTTATGAATCTATTATTCCGATTTATAGAAAAATAATTCAAATTCTACGTTACTATTGTGAAAAAGTTAATCTTAATTTCGATAAAGAACATTATTTAAAATTCATTAAATATTATTATAAAAAAATGGCTATAATCGATACAACATCTACAGTTGATAGTTATACAAATCTACTTGAAATATATCTTAATTATGACCCAACAAATTTTGAAAATATTCAATCTGAAATTATCTCTTTGGTCGAAGACAGGCATGTGAAAATGCTTGAAATTTTGATAAAAGTTCATATTAATTATGTACCATTAATACGAAGTATATGCTGACGTCTTACTTCTTTTGAAAAAAGAAATGGATCAATACCAAGATGTCAATCTAAATACATTAACACAATAATAATTGATTATACAGGACAAGCTATGAATTATTTATTAGCAGGAAATCAAGAAGCTAGTAACAGATGTTGACAAGAATGTGCATACCATCTTCTGGACTTACAATCAAAGTATGATTAACGCATTGCTACTTATTATCTTCGAATTGATGGTCCGATACAAGCCATCCGCGTTTTTGATCCTATCATCTATATTGAATTTACATCTTTATATTGCCTGCAAGCTTATCAGCGATATCTCAAGTTCATTGATTCATCAGTTTTATTTAATAAATAAGTAAATTTCGAACACTATCATACAATAAATTTATATCAGGAATCAAGTAGAAATCTACATTCCTATCTATCCGATGAGTAGACTTCACATAAAATTTTGATGTTGTGGATAGGATGTGATTATTGAGTATCTTCAAGTAATTCTTTTATACTGAAACGAAAACAACTTTTTACTTAATTAAAGTTGATTTTGTCTTTCACAAACATAATCCTATTGATTCTCTCATTCAACCGAATGACTGTTTGAGATTTCTTTATCGTAACAATTTTTCCTAAGAAGAACGCTTATCATCTCGAGATCATACAGACATTTTATCAAAGCTTACTACTTTATTGTAATACAGAGTATGAGTGAAGAGAAGACTTGCACCTATATCTGTAAATCCATATTTGTAGCCATGAATAATATTTAATTTTATGTTATCGATTAGACATTGAATATAAAATAATTAATGACAACAAATTTATGAAAGAAACTTTCCCATGGTAGTACTTTCTCTAGTTTTTAGTGACTAATGAATAAGAAATGGTAGAAAATTATATTTATATATAAAAATATTTTAGCTTCAACACAACCAAAAAGAAATTTCGGATCAGTAATAATACTTTTATGTTGATGAGATATACTTTGCTAACATTCAATCATTTTTCAAAATCTCATAAGATATTAATCAACTTGAAAAAAAGGAGTATGTACATTCTTTATTTAAAATAAGGATAAATTAATATACTATATAAAACTGTATTGTTTACTATAATATGGATAACACTATCTTTAAGCGACACTCACTTACGATCAAAAACCATTGATCTATCATTGATATGAATTCTTTGAATAAAATTTATGCTGATTTCCCACAATCTTTAAGAGTTTGATGTGACAACCAAATTTCAATTTCTGTCAAATTTTCATGATATAGATATAAGAACCATACATAATTCATTAAGATCTTCATGGATTATTCGATTATTGAACGAACATCTTCAGGTACATTTGAATAATTATGAGTTCTTGACAAGGACTTTATTTTAGAATATTTATCAGTGTTTTTAATTTCGATTAATGTTTAAAAATATTTCTGACATAGAGACTATCATATTTCATTGACCTGCACAAAGTCAAACGTCTTCAAAAGATACATTAGTAAGTTTTCCTAGTTACCAATATTCCTTTGATTATTGGTTCAATAACTTGAATTTGAAAAGAATCTCCTTCTTGTTTGATCATATCATTGTACAGTAAATTCCTTTGTTCTATGTCAAGATCATAGAAACATTAAAAGTATCTCCGTAGACTCATAAAATGGTTCGTTATGGAATACGTTGAAGTATCATATAATTTTGATAATAATTGGCAAATCAAAATGTGCCATCGACTAGAATAACCAGTTAAAATCAAACGATAATCATATAGAAAACATCTATTTATTGTATTTGCAACTCAGTATAGAGCCAAAAGAAAAATATAAACTTATACCGACACAACACGATATTTTTTGCAATCGTATATATTTCATAGATGATGAATAATAATAGTTCAGTACAGATAGATTCATAGCAAAAACTGAAAGACAATATAAATTATTAAAATGCTATAACTAAAACTTTCTATTTAATGAATTGAAGTTTATTGAAACTATTGCTAGATGTAAGTTTTATGTGACATTGATTAAAACGATATACAATAATGTGACTGAAGAAGAATATAATTGAGGACAAAAAATCAAAATAATCAAACAAATAAATATGAGTAAAAATATTATTAATGAATTAATTTTTACTTGGAACAGCTGAATAGAGCATATACTCCTGCAATAAATTAAGATAAACAACCGGAAAATATTCATTTAAAATAATAAAAAAAAAACTTACAACGAGAAAGAGAGCAGCAAGTAACATTGCCTTCATTTTAACATCAAGATCCATTGGAACTACAAAAGATAAATATTCGAAAAAGATGTTTTTAATTCTTATCAATAAGTTTACATTTAAGTAAATATACATCAGCACTTGTTGTTGCTTCTTCAATAAAACCACGATATTTTTTATAAATAGCTCCAATTTCTGTACTTCCATCTGTACCAATTAACTTTCAATAAAAAAAAAAGACAGTTGATTAAAATTAAATCAGAAAACAAAAGAAATTAAGAAAATTCGAATTTAAATTTTGAAAATATTACTTACTGTAAATTTAGTTTCACAACAACAGCTCAGTGGTCCATCGCAACGCACTAGAGGACCACGTACAGTAAGAATATGATTATCATCGTCATCTTTGATTGCAAAAATAGATCGACAACAACTTCCTCTAAATAATACATATTTCATGAAATCAATCTCACTCATTTTTGTAAAAAAAAAAACCTAGTCTTACTCTTGCGATACAGTACCAATTAAAGTTTCAGGCGGTGATTCGACTGTCACTTCTTGACTACAACATTGTGAACAAGCACACCAACAACAGCCTGAACAACATTTGAATGAACGTTTAATAAGAATAATATCCTAATTATTTCCAAGAAAATTTTCTTATGAAAATTATTTCAATGATTCTTATTAACTTGATTATTATTATCCATAATACGCAATTTAAAACGTCGTCTAGTTGTACAACAGCAACGTTGCCAAAATGTTGAAGCTTTTCAAATAGCAAAAAAACGAAAAGATATTTTAAAAATCAATATTAAAATTCTATTTATTTACTTTCTAAAGCTTGTAATATCCGTATATTTTTATCATTAAAAATATCAAATTTAGCTTCAGATGCAATACCAAATACAACTTGAATAATAACATGACAAAAAAAAAAGAAACTTCAAATTAACTGAATTGTTTGAACTGATTTACCTTCATTCAATGAAGGAAGTTGTTTAACATACAATGAATCAATCACTCTTAAGAAATCTAATCCAGTTGTAGCATTAAATATTGAAGGTAATAATGGTGTTATTTGATCGATATTTGATAGATTGATCTTCTCTTCAGATTCTTTTACATTCATTTCTTTGAACTATTGATACTATTAATGAAATTATTTCGAATCAATCAAATATTTAATCTAAAATATCCTATAATAAAACTCAAATATACCTTGATTTTTGTTTTGTAACTTGTTCCGTATTCTATCGTTTTCTTTCTTCTCTGATAAGATGCAAATACTTTAAAAAAAAAAGAAAATACATTTCTTGTTGCCTATAGTAAGAGCAATGTATAATTTCTTTTCTCATTCAATCAATATAAAGTATATCCAAACAAAATATGTTATATATATATTGAATTTTTATTATAATTCAGTTGATATGTTTGTTTACAAATCACACGAACGTCATTCAACCATAGAAAAGTAAGAAATTATGAAAGATTAAATTACAACTAACTCCTAGTAAGTGAGATAAAGGAGGAAAAAAAAAAGATGACTTAGTTGATTTCTGCTTTACGACGAGGAGCTCATAGGATATAATATATATCAAGGCTGCTCCACCCTCAAAAAAGTCACTTTTCGCCAGAATGATCGAAATTAAAATAAATACAGAGAAAGATAGACTGTGATCTGATCTCTCATTAACAACAAGAAATTTTATTCGGTGCTTCATTTTTTCCAAAAATTTTTGAAGATTTTCATCACCATCTACTTGAAAAATAAGCTGGTGTCGGAAAAAACCGAAAATCTTTTTCGTTTTTTCTCACTTTATAAGTTTTCGATCGCGCATCCCAGAATTCTCGAAGGAACTTCATTGTAGCCAATAGCTTTTTTTTGTTTGAAAGAGCATGTTAAGACGCAGTGCAGTACAGAGTTCTCTTTTTTTTAATTAAGCTTCGTTTTTTATTATATATATATACACACTTATATAATTAGAGCGCCATTTTTCGAGAGTTTTTTGAGTCATTAAACTTGTTATGCCTTTCCTCCGCTTAAAAAGTAAGAATTTTAAAAAAACCGGACTCTGTACTGCATTTCATCCTAACATGTTATTTCAAACAAAAACAAAATTAAATATATAGAATGAGCCTGAACGAAGAAATTTGGTTTGCTACATGAGTTATTTTTGACTCTTGTTTATTGAATATTTCCCAAAACCATCATGATATAGGGCTGAAAATTTTACCATAGTTTCTTCACACTAGCCTCAATATCTTCTGAAAATTTCATGTAAATTGAACGTTCCCAGTTCAAGATTGATTTTTGAGGGGAGAGGTCTTAACTATTTTATTCTGATTTATTCTCCAGTTTATGGAGAACATACAACGGTAATCAAAAACAAAATAGTAAGTGCTGAAGAAAAGAATGCTTGCCTGTGCCAAAAGAACTAGGAGAAGGATGAATGCACAAATCTTAGGTTTGAGGACAGAAGATTCTAAACTAGGCAGAAGAAGAACGACTAAGAACCATTAATATAACAGTGGAAGAATGTATTGAATAAAAAACAAAGAAAGAATTTTTTTTTTCTGTTTGTTCCTCAACAAAGTCAATGTGAAAATAGCTTTCTAGAGAATATTTTTTTTGCATTGCTTGATTAAGAGATTGACTTCCAATAATTATCCATTGTTGATAGTTGTCAATGATGCATAAGGCAAGTTATATTGTGTCTATGTCTATTTATCTAATTAATTCAACAGATAGTAGAATAGATATTTGTATGAGCGAACGACATTTACTTTTCATTTGCTTTTTCGTATTGCAAATGGCCATTTATATCTCTATTCGATAAATATTTATGAAAAATACTTTGTTCTATAAAAGCATTTCAGATCTTTTCTTTTATTAATTCTAGCATCTAAACATTAAAATTCAATAGATAACATTCAAAAATAGCAAACATCTTATTTGTTTTAACTCAATCCTAAATCCGAAGGTGGATTGATCGTAAAAATTGACATTATTCATAGACATAATTCTCTTTATGAAGATGTAAATAATAAGATTATAGAAGATGAAGATTTGAAACAATGTACAAATAGTCTGCTAGTTTTATCCTGTCATTCATCACGTAAGTCATCAATTGTAAAGAAGTTGATCATGCCTTTTGAATGAGAAATTTAAAGGTTTAGAATTTTTTGTAAATATATTTTTAATAAACAATAGAATAAACTCGAAGAAATTAAAAAAGAAGTAAGAATTTCATACTACCAGATGATTTCTTTTACAAACCAATGCAATTGTTTTTTTTTCTTTAAATGCTTTTATTTGGGATATCCATATTATTTTAATCATTATTTACTCGATTAGCTTATGAATCTCAAATATGGTAATGTTACTTAAATTAGTGACGAACTTTTAATTTTAATGTCTGCACCGACTCTTTATCATATACATATTATTATTATTATCATCAAAATACAATCAAAATCCTGATAGATATGATATAAGGTCACTACAAAATAGATGTCTTCACCGTAGTTGGTAAAAAACTTATTGTTTTTTTTGCATTTATAAAATAATTTTTTCTTTTCAAAGTTAATCATGATCAACCATCATTTCATTTTGTGGATAGATGAAATACACCTTCATTTTGGTGTAGCAGATGGAAAAACAGTATCTATATCCATATCATCACCAGCATTTTTTTTTATCTTCTTCTCTTTTCACGATCATTGTCCTCCATTTGTGCTTAACCCTTTCTTGTCTTTGGCTGAGCCTGACAGTTTGGAAGGAGAATTTGCTCAATAACATCAACGTTATGGTCCCTAATATATACAGAAAAAGTTTGAGCCAAATCCAACACACAAGCCCTTCTCTTATGAATTATAGTGCGTCCCTTAACAGTTATGTATTGAGCGAACATTAAAAAACAAAAATTATTTTTATGATAAAGATTAGATTTAGATTGTTGATTTGAATTCCACAATATATACATTTTAAGTTGATATAAAACCCGTTCCTAAACGTCTCACAGTTTAAAAGAATCAAATTTTTACAAAATGGTATTTATAGGAGCTGTAGGACAAGAAAGGGTGAATTCACATCTCAACAACAAATATGGCGAAAGATGACAAGAGTTTTCTCAAGTTGTAGCGACAAAATTTCTCTCCATGTCGAGATTAAATTCAAATATGTGTGGTTAGACTTCAAGGAAAAATGTGGAACACGTAGATGCCGACTTTTGATCCTTCACATTCAGATCACTTTTTGAACAACTTAAACCTTTCTTGTCCTATGGCTCCTATAAATACCATTTTATAAAAATTTGATTCTTTTAAACCAAGAGGAAACAAACTGATTTCATATGATTTCAGGTGATTTCAGATGATTTCAGATGATTTTAGGTGATTTCAGGTGATTTTAAACTGATTTCAGCGATCGAAATCAGTTTGTTCCCCCTTGGATAAGAGTCATGTCTTTACTCACTCGCACACCATACCCACAAAATCAGTTCTGATTTTATGCAAAGTTGTATTAGCAAGTAGTATCAAAAACTAGAAGTAGTAAATTAAGCTAATGTCAGAGTTAATCCTAGATCAAAAGGCGTAAGATTAACTTTTAATCTTCGACTTGGATTGTTAAACTTCAATGCTGAATCCTATATTCAAGTCTTAGTCAACGTCAAGTGTGCTATGATTTGAAGCGTCGATATGAATGAGTAATCACTATAGAATTAGAATCGCTTCCACTATTCGACTACCTATCGGGTAACCAGCATGAAATGGAATATAGAATCTCGATTAAGACTTCGCTTTCTATTCAAAATCATTTTTGAACAGCGAAAGCATGATTTTGGCAAGGCTTAGGCTTAATTAAAGTCTTAAGTCTAAGCCTATTACTCCTATAAATAACGATGTGGGGGTATTTTCGGTGCTGTCTCTGACGCAAACTTTTAAAACATTGCCGTGCAGAATAAGGCACAAGAGTTCTTCTGAAAAGAAATGATGTAAAAGAAAAGATGATCATTGTTTAATTCCCATATTTTACAGATCTTTCCATGCAAAACAGACTCAATCACTCATCAGAACAATTGACGGCGAATAATACATCCTGAATAAACAAGTGAGTAGATGTGATGTATAATCTTAAACAATTTCTTTCAATCGTTTGCTTATGTAGGCGTCGAGATTTGTATAATCCATATTTTGATATTCTTCAGGTTCAAACACTTTTTCTGCGCTTGCCATTTGTAAATCGCATCGTTTCAAATATTCAGCCCACACCAAGTTATCATACCATTGAGAAAACTCATTAGAAATTGTCACTTGCGAATCGGATACGTTTGGGCCTAATTTATTCCGTCGTCGAAAACGCTGCATGCGACAGCGATCTTGTGTCGAAGCGAGAAAAATTCGAATATCAAACATCGACGTCACATCGTTTGATAAAGCAAAAAGAAGAAAACCTTCTACAACTATATAAATAGTTTTGTTTTCCTCCGCAACAAAGTTCGATCGGCTGAACTGAGAGCTTCTCCATTGACTTTTGATTTCACGGAGTGAAGTCAGAAAACGATTGATATCTATCGATTCTGGTTGCTCTAGACTTTTAATGTTGCCAAGAATAGGATGATCAATATAGATTGGTGGTGTAAAAAAGCGGTCCAGTGATATCGGCAAAAAAGGAGAACGAAGATGATTGGCCAGATGTTTTGAATAAGTTGTCTTTCCACAACCGGATGGACCAGCAATACCAATGAGAATGACCCTAATTCAACGAAAAAAACATTGAAATCTAGAATTTTACTTAAAACTCGTATGAGCACGATCCACACCTTATATATGACTTTTGGAATTATGCTACTGAGAAATTGTGAAAAATATGTTGTTTTAGAATGAATCAGTGTTTGCCGATGTTTTATCATTGATGATTATCTAATTAGAGAAATTCTTCCTACCAGAGACCTATTTGCGTCTTAAAATAATGAATCTTTTTGAAATGTTCACAGCATCTGCTTCCAATCGTAGTTAGTTCTTAATCGAAATTTCTATAAAAACTTTAGTCTGTTCAAAAAGTGATTTGAATGTCAAGGATCAAAAGTTGACACCTACGAGTTCTACGTTTTTTCTTGAAATTTAATTACACGGATTTGAATTTAATCTCGATAAGTAGTAAAAACTTGTCGCGACAATTTGAGAAAACTCCTATTACCTCTCGTCATATCTTCTGTTGAGACGTGAATTAAGTTGATTAATAACTTGATGTTGTAAATCATTGTGATTACCATGGACGACAATGTCAACACCATGTTTCTTACATTCTTCTACATCGGCTGTCAAACTAATAACAGCCATAAGTGGACAATGCTTCACATTTGTTTGTCTCCAGATGCTTTTCATTGCGTCTAACATTTCAAGTCCATTGAGGAGTCCTCGCTCTCGCCGTCCATCACGTTCCATCATACTTGTGATCACGCACTGAATATTGTCTGGTTTCAAGCGTTGTTCGTGAAGAGCATTCAGTGCATCAGCCGTCTCATTGAAGCATGTTACATGCCAGTTTTGAGCTCGAAGCAAACCTGTACTGTGATAGATATTTGGATCAGAGTCAACCCAAATGATGTTGATTTGCGCATCAATGTTCATGTTTGCCATAGTTAATGTATTAGTGTGAATAAAAATTGTGTCTCTTTGCTTCTCTTACACTATTTAATAATATGTAATCTAAAGCAGAACGAGCAGAAAATGTTTTTTTTCTTATTTTCAATGCATGTTCACCTATGTGTTGACTCTCTGTGTTTTTCGCAAAAGTAGTAAAAATGCTACTGATGACAGTCAACATTGTACGTCATTCTCCATTACCTTGTGAATTATTGCTGCATAAATAAAAACAATTACTCAATTACAACATGTGTCATGGCGTCAAATTTCGAGAAAAAGAAGGAAGTGAAGTCATGTGCATTAATCATCTTTTTTCTTTCTTTATGCGCAATTCTACATTACTTTTGACGTAATAACCATCATTTTCTCCTATTCTCTAACTTCTAAGATTCAATGCAACTCACTCCTATGCTCAAAGATTTTATTGAGAGTATTGAATGATATCAGCAAATAGCAACGCACGCCAATGATGCTTCTTATAAAAGAAATTACTAAAATTTCGATCTGATTTCATGTCTGTCGACGTCATGCTGTAGCATGCTTCTCAACGAATTCGTTGTTTTTTCTTCGGAATATAAAAAAAAGCATTTGACCTCTTTTTTTTATTCTATGTCGGTGAATCTGATCAGGGTAAAAGCCTTTTAAACAACAAGAATAAACACTAGAGGCGAGTTTTTTTTAAAATCCAATTTATGATGATCGGTTTCATATTTAAAAAGATTATTTTTTCATGAGGATATCACATATTTACAATGGAACATAAGTTGGGTTAAAAGCATCTTCATCAACTCTATCCGAAAGTCTGTGAGCCTATTTTTTCACACCGTTTCAACGCGATTAAGGCTGTAGGTATGGATGAAGAGAAACTTACACACACTCTGAATCTATTCGATCTGTTTGTCACTTGGATGGACGTAGTTGAAGTTTCTTGCTATATACTTCAACAGTTAATAACAATTGCACTTTGCAAAAATGTATGATAGATTTCAGTATGATAAAACCAAGTATTATGAATCATTGAAGAATCTTAGAGATGTCTAATGTTGCTGATAAGTGAGAAAAAATCTTAACTTAAATGCAATGCACAAATTTGTTTGGACTTCATTCTTTCCAACATACGATAACAATGACGACAGATAAGGATGCATGTTTCGAAATTAACAATGGCAACAATAACGAGGAGCAATCTGAAAGACAAAGAAGTACATTAAAATCGAGCAACCTTCTCAATACAATTCATACCGTGAAGGACGACAAATGAGTACTAATCAAAAGCATAGATTGCCAAGACATGGGGTCAAATTTGCCAAACATCTATTCCAATAATGTCACACCACTTACGACCAATGAAATCGGGAACAGGAGCGAAGGCCATGAGTCAATTGTTTCTACTGAAAATGGGGTACCGAACACATACTTCATTCGTTTTCTTTCATCTCATAACGTAAGGAATTCTTCATCTGACATATGACAAGAAACAAAGACAAACGATTTGCAACCGATTCAAAAAGGAGCCAAGAAAACATCGAGCTTGTATACAGTTTTATGAAACTATTATGAATTTTAAACAAGAGTAGAACATGTTATTAAGCGTGCAACAGTTCATTGAACTGTTAGCGAGATTGTATGAGTAAATCGAGCAAAATTTTCTATTTGGGTGTGAGTGCGGTGAAGGATATCTCCACATCCACTGACAGCCATAATATGTGCCATACCCATCCACACGCACTACATTCATTCACACCCACACCTTCAGGCACATTCATGAAAAAACGACCGATAATTCAGTTTTTTGACACTAGACAAAACTATGTCATTCTGTAACATTGGATAAACCTTCCACTACACTTTACGTGTATTGGATTCAAATGTGGAACATCATAGTGATCGTTCCAAAAGAAAGAAAGGCAGCGATTCAGATTAGTGAATGTAACTAGAGTTCTCGCAATGACACTCTCATGCTCGGCAATGCTGTTAATTTTATCACCAATTATGACAAATACTATAACAAAAGTTGATAGACAATGTTCAGCAACAAGAGCCTGAATAACATGAGTCACATTACAATGCTGAATTCGTTGAGTCAAATTGATTCTAGTTTAATAGTCGAATCAAATTTTTGGTTTCTGCAGTGGTCATACCATAAAGAAAATGAATAGCTGTGTTGTTGACAAAGATATGATTGATTAGCATTTTTTTCCCAAATATAGACAAAAGAGATTTTATGTTTGCTTCAAAAATACAAATAAAACTGCAATTCGATACTAGTGTTCTGCTAATATGCAAAAGGCCATAAAAGTCTAAAATACCCTGTACAATCTATATTAAGCGTTCACTATGTAACAATTAAGATCTTTACTCTTCACCTAAATAGCTTAGCTGCGTATTGATCTAATGGTTCGTATTCATCGGTATAATGCGTGGTGGTCGTCGTAAAATAAGTCTTCTAATGTTTGAATGATATTGTTTAAGTACTGGCTACTGAAGTATTTTCCTTTTTTGTTGCTTTTACTCGTGATTGTACAAAGATGCGTCATTTGCATTTTTTTTCCTTTTTCACATCAGTTCTTAGTGAGTCAGTGGCAATATACCGTGTCACATGTTTGACACTAAGAAAAAGACTTTCTATTGTATTGAAGAAGCCACATCAATTGGATATTTTCTAATCGATATTCATCAAAAAGTCTTATTGGAATATTTTTTAAATCATCAGAATTTAGATATATGTGAATTTTAACCAGAGCATTAGCCGTCTCTTTCAATAAAACGTTTGAACCAACCTTAGTAGATGATGATGCATTGCTTTCATTGATAATAGCTGTAAATATTGTTGCATTTGGACGAAGAGGTATTCATTTCATTCTGATTTTTTTTGTCTGGTCATTGTAACTATATCTAGAGGCTTGTGCTGTCCAGATTTGCAGCACTAGTGTTACCTGTCTGATGATGCTTGCTGCTCGATGCACACTCCGCTTTCAAAATGTCTTGTTGTTTTCTTCGTATCCGAATGCTACAAACAAATAGATACGTATGATATGAGTGAAAGGATTGTAATGGAGATAGAAATATGAAAATAATGAATTGATAACTCTACTGATAAGTTATTTGAATGCCTCAATGGAGCTTTTTTTTTTATTATAAAAATAAAACAATTATATATATTATAGAGTTCTATAAATTGCGACTAAAGAAGAGATAATCAAAACTAAATTAAAAATCAGTCTTTTATTCAATCGTTTTAGTGTTTGTTATCATATGAAAGATGAAAATATAGTTCGTCTCGTATCAATATAAAGTTGTCTATATATAGGAGTTAAATTTATCTAATTTTTAAACTCTGCATTATCATTTAACAGAGTTATATCATCATGTTCTTCTCCATCGTCAAACGATCGATTGCGTGTTTCCGGTAAAGTAGTAATTAGACCAGTCAATAGTAGAGTTAATCCAGCATAAACATAAAATGCAATGCGTCTATATTTGTCGCCGACTGCGGTATCAACAATAGGTGCTAGAATCGACCCAAAACTGCCGATAAATACAAATATGGCATTGGCCAAACCTCGCATCGATGTTGGAAAAAGTTCAGGAACATAAAGCCACGAAACTGCTACAGCACCGCTAATGGCCATTTTACCTATTTGTGAAATAATGGTACCTACAATAGGACAAGAACCTATTGTAAATGGTATCGCAAATACGCACGCTGATGTTAATAATAAAAATGTAATCAATGAATATTTTCGTCCTAATAGTGTAATAACTAAAAGACCTGCGATCAAATATCCAAGACTTTCGACGGCAGCTCCAATAATAAAATTCGTGTAAGGACTCACTGCTTCATTCTTTGCACCGAGTCCATACGAAATTTCGGTATATAATAACATCGTAACAAATTCAATAAAACCACTAATAATTAATTTTGGCAAATACTGTAAAATTTTTTCTCGCTTTCTTCGGATTAAAGTTTTGGTAGTCTTTTTTGGTATAGTAGTCTCTTCTATTAATTTAGTATAATATGGATGCCATTCAATTTCTTTACGACCATTCGTTTTGGCAATTTTTCTTAAAGCACTTTCAAGTTGATCGTATTTCTTTCGACTTAACAGCCAATAGGGCGATTCGGGAATGAAATAAAGATAGGGAACTGTGAGAAGGAAATAAGCACTCGTTAGCCATTTGAGATTAAGCCAGTCACGTGCTACGAAGGCAAAAGCAGTGAATAAACATTCACCGATTGGATATGCAACCAAAGAAAGACCAGCAGCAAAACTTGTATGTGAAGATGATGTTAGTTCCATGATAAGTAGAAAAGCTATACCATAGCCGTCAATACCTGATACAAGCTGATTGATAATCAAGAGAATAAACCTAAAGAGAATTTAGTTTATACATTATTTTCTTATCACTTAGTCATAGTTATTTATGATATTTACTTTGTATTGATATCCATTGTGACAAATTGAAGGAGTACTTGAGTAATACCAGTAATAATATAAAGTCCAAGACTCAAAACTTGTAGGATTTCTCTCCGTCCAATTCTATCGCTAATCGGTCCAGTAACTAAAACTGTGAATCTATAAAAGCAAAATGAAATTCTGCTATGCAAAATCAAACGACAAGAATATTTCTCTCACGTTCCAATTTGATAGACTGTTGAAAGCCATGTTTTCTTCATTGCACTGCTACAAATGAAATTTGCTTCTTCTGTAAATGTTCTTCCGTAAACACTTTGATCATAGACAAAATCATGGCAAGATGTCCCATTAATATTTTCGCATTTTGACGACGGCAATAGATATGCATCGAGCAAAGCTTGATGAGTAGCATTAATTGATTTATATTGATTATCATCAGACCAAATATTCGACGGTAGTTGACACCGAAAAGCCGGCTCAGCAAGTCCAAAAACATAGTAAAATCCAGTTATGCCACTGCTAAAGTTGATAATGCACAAAAAGAAAAAATGAATCCATTGATATCGACCAAAATCACCACAACGTCTGAGTACATTTTCCAAATTGAGCTCATCCATTGTAATACTATTCTTTTGGATTATTGTATTTTGAGTACGAATGGTTGAATTGATTTCTTTGTTTATCTGTACTCTAATTCATAGAATATCACATGTTAATCAAAACTTTATTTTCGTCGTAGACAAAAAATCGGAACATGTTTACAGTTTATTTTGAAACTCTAGTACATTTTATATATCACATGTTTTATTTATTAAGATTGATATTTACCGTCAAATATCTTTTCACTTTCTGTTCTTCTTCAATAGTCTGTTTTTACGTTCGTTCTAATCAGTATTCATTCTTAACTTTCTTACTGTAATTTAGTCCTGGTCAGAAAAGAAAAGAAATTACACCATGTACTTTCTAAGCACCAATAGTAAAAGTATATATTAGAGTCGCTTGAATCTAACGGAACGGTATATATGCTCTTCGCTGAAACATACTTCGTCGAAAGTACTTTTTGGCCATGGAGGGCGCCCCAAAGGTGCGGGTGAGGGCAAAATAAGTTGATCTCTTCATGCTGAGCACGCCCATATAAGAATTAAAGGGTTCGCAACAATCTAAAGCGTCCTACGAGTCTTTCAACGAAGAGGGTTACAACCAACGGAACTGAATAACTAAAGACAGCCTACTTTTTCTTAGTTTTGTTGATAACTCAGCTATTTTTTTTTCACTAATAACTCATCGAGATATCTCAGATTCTGACTTCAATCCTCAATGATCCTTAAAGTTTGTCATCGTTGTAAAATGTAATAGGACAAAACAAAAAGAAAAGAAAATTTGCTCAAGTTTCTATTCAATCAAATTATTTATTTTCATCTGATCCGCATGTTATTATCAAAAAACAATAGTCAGAAGTGTCCTATAAAATAGATTTGTATGCTCGAAAGTAACTGTAGGCTTGACATATATCTAATCTTTAACAAATGATAGGTAAGAGCAAATGTAAATAACACCTAATCCAGTACGAGGATCCCTCTATATGCAAATTTTTCATTACATTTCATTCTTCTCTTTGTCTACTCTGATCAAAAAAAAAACAATAATATTTTTGTATAGCCAATGTGCTAGTAAATAAGCTACTAGAGAATAAAGAATACATTATATATCGAAATGGATTATAAAGAGTACGAAAAAAAACAACGATCTTTGTAATTAAGTATAATTTGCAAGGAAATCATTTGAATAAATCAAAACATCAACTCTTTTAATGATTAGTCAGTCGGATATCTGAGCCATGTATGTATAAATAATATTACATTTAATGGAGTTTTGAGTCAATGCACGTCAGAACCTTCGTTAAACACCTTTTTTCATGCGTTTTAATGGCTAAAGTTTCAATAAAATATGCTTTAGTTTTCGAGCATGTATGGAAGCACATATAAATTTTAACTCTTTTTCATGTGTACCATTATTGTTTATGATTAGGCCATCATTTTCCGCTGTGAAAATCCAAAACTCATTTGTGTTAATTTTCTTGTATTGTCCAACTCCTAACAATCAATTCTAGTTTATCTACCATGAAATATTGCACTTGTGCTTTCATGCAATCTGATGAAATATGAATGGCTAACATACAATATTGGTTAAACTTACGGAAAGTATTGATTCAATGTCTTAATTGCCTAACTACTCTCAAAACGATAAAATAATTGGTAAATAATTCCATAAAAAAGCTCATTCATTAGAGTTATATGGTATCGAAGGATTTCGATTAAATGCATGGCAATACAATGGATGCTGTGATGCATCATATGCAACGATGAAATATAATTATAGGTTGTATGAGTGTCTCAAATGGTATGGTGAAAGTTAAAAGCTTAGCCGCTTTCTGCTGCTGAATTGATACAAAGAAATATAGTTTCTAATGTCGATCTAGATAGGGTACGGATACGCTAGAAGATGACAACAATGCCTACATCCGCATCCACACACCTATAATCATACCCTCGATTTGATATTCTTGATCCTTGAGATTTTTCAGTTCACATTATGTAGATGTTTCGAGTTCAATTCCTGAGCATAACATTTGAAATAAGAACCCAGATCGACAGAAGTCAAACTATGGTGAATAATAGTTAACTCATGTCGACTCACTTTCTATATATTTTCATATTTCACTTTTCTAGATAAACTTAAAGAGTGTAGTTGAATAAATAGAACACTCATTCCCTCTTACTGACTTTCTTTAATATCAAGACTCAATGATTTATCTCATTATGCCTTGCTTTTGATAGAATAACAAAAGTTATTAGTTTGCTTCACATTAGAATAAATAGTCTTTGCAATGACAGACCAGATGAATTGAGACATTGTGTTGATTTGATCATGGTGAGATCACTACAGCGAATGCTTAGACATAAAATTTGGCGTGGCTGAGAAACTAAGACTCACTTAAAATGCGTCATACATATGAAAAATCTGTAATTCTGCTGAACTTCCTCCCCTCCAAAATCTTAAAATTGGTTGCAGAACTTTGTGTCATGAGGCATGTCATAGGTTGGGTATCTTGTGATCTGAAATATCACACAATACACGATAGTGTTGAACCGCGATGATCATTATCAATGATACTCTAGCTATTTGGCGAGTTCAGATAAATTCTTTAGAGAAAGTCCAGCCAACTCTAACTTTCAACAATCTGTTCTCTAAAAAGAGTATCGTACTTAATCTTTTAGGGTTCTAGGTTTCGGTATGATTTACTGAACCTTTTTAAGTTCTAAACTTTTTTGGTAGAACTGTAAAAAAATTCAGAATATAGCATCGAAAAGGTGTTGGCTGCGTAAGGTGAGGGTGCCTGCACTCCTCCCGACTCACACCCACATTCACGTCCAAAGCATACAAATTTGAGTTGCAAATAAGTAAAATAACGGTTTCAACTTTAAATATAAAGAAAAAAATAGTTGATGTGCATGTTTGCTGTCATCATTCGTCTTGTTTGTCCTTAAATAAATTTGCTGGTAAATGAATTCTTCTCATAAACAGTTTGTAAAATCCAATTGGAAGTTTTTATGTTTTTACCCGTACAGAGAGGTAAGAAGAAAAAGCTAACAAAATCATGTCTTTTCCAATTTTTCAGAGTCACACCGAATAATGGAAGTAAATTTTTGTCCACCATTCAACATTTCTATATGCTGTAACCTTACCAAAGGCTGCCTAAATCGAAAGCACATGATGAGTCGATTTGTTGACATTTGTGTGAAGAATAAGAAACACGTTCTCGAGACTATGAATCAAGTAAAATTAAGGAAAGAATTATCTCAAATAGAATTCATCGCTAGACGCTAACTCTCGTTTTCTTTATATTCTGTTATCTTTCCCTACTGCATTTTACTTCACTTCATCCTTGTGCTCAATCCTTTCTCTGTCTTTTTTTTTTCTGCGAACCAATCGACTGGTGGCGAGTCGGTGATTTCTCTTTCTCTTTTAACCAGTTGACTAGAGTGTGGGTGCGAGTGTGAGTATGAGCCTAGGTATGGATGGAGAGAAGACAGACATCCACATTCACTTTCAAATTCCAAATGCTACAAACATCAATTATCACCTATGACTTTTAATACGAGCATTGTAATCTTTGATTCTCAAATATTGATTTTTGTTTCAAAGGTCTCGTTGAAATCGATACTCCAGTACATGATAGTTTCAATCATATAAGATAATTTTCTTGCTATATACTCGAATCTAGATCGAAGAGAAGTGTTGTTGACTGCTATAACTTCAATGAGCTTCCGTTCTTGGAATTTTCTCTTAATTCCATTTTTGTTTTAAATATACGATAGTTCAAGCAATTTGAAAAAGTACTGAAGTCGGTGAATGGTACTGTTAGAATTTTTCTATCATAGAGACCGTATTGTATAAGAAAATGAAAATGAATTGTTGTCAGATGGATCATCTAAAACTCACAAACGAATTTTATTGAACACTTCTTCAAAGGAGTAATCAAATGCTAGATGTCAAGAGATATTCCATAGTGAACGATGAGCGATTTCTCTCAGATGAAGTTTTATCGTTTTCAATGATTACTTTTATATTTCTTAACTACGAAGACGAGCTTTGAAGCAGTATATAATTAGATACTCATTTTATGTAGAATATTAGAGTATAAGTTTTAAATCTAGAGTGAACAATAATATACAGTCTTGTGAGTTAGCCGAGTGCAGCTCGAAACTCGTTCATAGAGAAGTTCGGATCAGGCTTGCGACCTGCAGGTACTGCTGCTTCCTTGTGTCCCAACACTCGTGCTGTAGGTACACCGTAAGCTGCTTGAAGAGCTTTCACACCACGTACATAGCTCTCCCATTGCACTTCGGGCCAGTGCTTATGTCCTACATTATCGACTGGAGTGCCAGTGGCCTCAGCTTCGATACCAATGGAGTTTGAATTTCCGAAAATTGAGTCATCGATTGTAGCGCCAGCGTGATAAGAACGGCCAGCTGCGATGACGTACCAAGTTCCTGAACGACCCAAGCCGAGTTGTGAAAGAGGACCAGAGAGATCAGGACGACCGTCTCGCACTACTCGTAGAGATGGATATTCACCTGTGGCAGGACCCGCTGTGTGATGAATTAGAATACCTTTCACCGAGGCCATCACACCATGACCACGAGTCTTCCAGCCGGGTTCTTCGACCACATTGAGACCAGCTTTGCGAAGAATGTCAGCCAAGTCCGTAAGCATTCTGTTCACTGGTTTACTGGAGCCGATACCAGATGGATTGGAACCTTTCACGCAACATCGCATATTGGCAGAGCCAGGACAAATACCTGAGTGCGAGGTTCCACCACTTGCTTCACAAGCCGCAACATCCATGCAGTTATTACTAAACAGAAGATGATTAATTTCAGAGCATCATTGACAGAGAGCATCTTACCAAGTGCAACACCGGATGTGGCTGGCACCAGAGCAGAGACCCGCTTGAGATGATCCACCTCTGACAGCACACGTGGTAGCATCGATACAAGCATTGTCGGACCAGCATTTTGCACTGGTGGCTCGTGCGTGAAAGACGACGAGACACAACATACTAGTCAGAAGGCCATTGCGAAACATCTTGTAAGTATTGTTACTTGTGAAAAACGATTGAGTGGCTCGTAGCTGGTCGGCGATGCAATAAATACTTTTTGATTGCGAAAACAAAGGATTAAATTTAAGGCCTTTCAAAAGCCATTAGAAAATGAGCTTTAGCGGGCTATATCGTGCTTCTTATCAGGTTCCTTCTAATTTATAGCGCATCAACTACCGATAAAAATAGAAAGAAAATTAATCAAATGGGTATGAAGGGTAGAGCATATTTGATTACAGAGTGAATAGAAACAACCAATGCAATTAAAAGAATGCACATATTCGCGCCCCCTCTCACTCCTTATCCCGCGCCCAAATATAGCTTTAGAATGCATTCGGCAATTATTCATTAGCTACCTTGTGATATATACATCTGATGTTGAAAACAAGTGCTATCATCGTTGCACACAAATATGCTCTCAGAAAGGATGAATTCTTTTGGAGTGAAAAGTGTTCACTATCAGAGAATATCATCGCTATCTTTGTTATCAGTTGATCGTATATCTGTTTGATCGTGCATCTGTTGCGTAACAGCAAGTTTCATTTTAGCTTTTTCTCACTCTTTATTTCTATCATATGTTTTATTGCGTATCATATCAGAATATTGACAGACACGAGTAATAAATAAATCTGAACGAGGTCATGAATTGAAGTTTTGGGGTCTATTTCGATCTACACACTAAATTTAAATGCGTCGTGTTTATGTGTCGGGAATTATTGTGTCGTGCACTCCAGCACAAAAATGTGTCGTATACGAATTTGTCGCGTTCTATCTGCTGACTAGTCGTTTACTGTTTTGTTATGCACACATAGCGATATATAAACGACGTGGTTGAACGTACAAAAAATAAATTTTCAAAATATTCTTTTTTTCTAGATTGTTTCTCGATCATTTTTTATCGAGAAAATACTGATCTCGATCCATGATCGAGAGAGGACTACTCTGCAGCGATCTGATGCAAATCTGGCTTACTTGAGTTTTTAAAATAGGAATAATTAAATAGAATTAAATTGGAAAAAAATTCAAATATTTTTTTTCCAAAAAAAACAATAGAAAATGTGTCGTGGTCTTGCTGGAGAAAACGTGTCGCAGTGAGCTCCTCGTGTCGTACTTCAATGTGGCGTACAAAGTGTCGCAAATCACAACACATGCGACACATTTTAACTTAGTGTGAATGCTCCACTTTATTCTGATCTGATTGACTAGAAAACACATGGAGAGAGCACAAAGAACGAAAAAACAATCAAAATACGAGAGAAGAACAGAAAGAATAGAGATAAATATCACATCTGAGATATTTTTTAAAGATATGCCGATAGAATGACTCTTCTACTCTATTCAAGAAAATTTCAATCCGAATTCGATTAAAGTCTCGACCAATGCTCTGTAAGGATGGATTTTTTTATTTGATTTTCAGTCTTTATGTTTAATTAACTACAATTTATAGAATTCACTAAACATCATGTTATTATATATATCATCATCTTTTTTTTCTTCAACTTGAACACATTGCCTATTTTGTCATTGTAACGTGCAATTAAACATCGAATGGACACAAACTAATAGGAGTGCAAGGGCACTTATATACATAAATAATCTAGAAAAAAACGATGTTCAAATGGAGACGGCTTTGAAATATGGATGTTGGTGAACGGCTTCTGTTTATATATACGCCTACATCAGATCCGTAGTAAATATTAAATAACTTCTAGCAATTATGATAAAATCTCTTCGAAATTTCGCTTTGACTTCGATTCAAATTCTTCATAGATAAACATAAAATGATGGTCCTTGCTCACTGATTATGAGTATTACTTTATCAATAACGTAAAAAAACATTTAGTCAGTCAATATGTATCTAAATTATGCAGTTCTCTTTTGCAAAGCTCATTTAATGATCAACCGATAATAATACTTTATTTTAAGACCAGTTATTATACTTACGCTTAAGAGGGAATCGCCCGAGGTATACAACGCCGATTCCCTTCATTCATACATCGTTTGATAGAGGGCATCGAGATAGTAAAAAACCTAAAAGAATTTGTGCTGACGGCTCTTTCTTGAAAAGTTAGGGCCATTTTTCTGTTCTTCGCAGCTAACATGGCCAAAAATTGAAAACCTTACAACTCAGTCAAGAAAGACCGTATACACATGAAATTTTCATCACTACAAGTTTACACACACTGCTGATCGATCTGAAAATTTTAGATTGTTTGGAGTGATGGAGTATATCAGCTGACTGTAATACTTTATACCATTCATCATAACCAATGTACTTACTCTCAAGGCTTTTTATTCATTTACAAGCAAAGACAGTTAAATAATATCATATATTCCCTATCATCAAATGTTAATAACCATTTAACAAAGGATGGAAATGAAAATAGACGAGATATAATTATTTAAAAACGAAAAAAAGACAGCACTATAGTCAACTGCAGGAGTGTACTTTTTCATGCGAAGCTAAAATCCTGTAAGTCAGGAATGAAATGACCAAACAATCTAAAACTTTCAGATTGATCAGCAGTATATGTGAGTTTGTAGTGCTGAAAATTTCATGTGTATACGATCTTTCTTGACGAAGTTGTAAGGTTTTCAATTTTTGGCCATGTTAACTGCGAAGAACAGAAAAATGGCCCTAACTTTTCAAGAAAGAGTCATCAGCACAAATTCTTTTAGACTTTTTATTATCTCGATGCTCTCTATCAAACGATGTATGAATGAAGAGAATCGGCGTTGGACACCTCGAGCGGTTCCCTCATGAGAATAAGATCGAATCTATCTACAAAAAATAATTACATTTATCAATCTATCGAACTATCAAGAAATTAGTTGAAAACAAAAACCATTGTTCATTTAAAGTCATGTTCTTTTTCAGGTTATAAAAAAGGAAATGGTTTACAATAAACATTTGTGTAATGTAATTGATCATGGATCACTTTTCATATGCATAATATGTTTGATATCTTCTATGGATTATGCGTAACGTCTTGACCAATTTCATTGATCGTATCTTTATTTCGTTCCGTTCTTGATTATGTATCTTACTTGTACTGTAATAAATGCTGAATAAAAATATGGACACAGCGATATAGATGCATTTGAAAACATAAAAACATGTATAACAGATGTCATCAATTCACCGCCATGAATAGTTATCAATAGAGTATAACTGAACATATAGGCACGAATAAATGTCAATCGATCTTTGCCTATTTTTCATGATAGATTTGCATTAAGAGTCGAAAATATTTTGATGTATTTCGATAGATTCACCTATTCACTATCTCTTGATAGGAATGCAAGTTAGTGATTCCAGTAGAAAAAAAACCTATCGAAAAATTCATTTCGAGTTCGTTTACGTATTGGATCTTATTCTCGATTCTGAATTGTGTTAGAATGAAATTGAAAATAAGCAAGAAATTCTATCAGTATTCATCTTGCTACATAAAGTGAAGCCTTCAGAACAATGAGATAGCAAACAGGAACTCGTAAATGCGCCTTGTGAATTGCGAGCAGAGGCACACAATGTGATGACAATATTATCAAGTGTAAACGAACTTGGAATAATGTTCCTTTTTTGTTCATGCGAGTGAGAAATTAATAATAGATGACAGGAACATTGAAAATTGTCCTGGTCTGACAAGAGAAACGCTTTTTCAAAAGTCACGAAAAAGAAACACAAAAACTTACTACGTTTTGTGACATTCATTGTACAATTAAAAGAAGATCAGAAAATTTCGGTTACAAATAAAATACTCTTCTTCACTACTTGTCAACCAACACCATCGAGCATCTCAATTCGGTCAAATTACTAGTATTCCATCTGATCCTTTGACATATACGAATGAGATTATTGGTTAGCGATCGTCCATATCCGTGAAACTTGAAGTTACGACAGTAACATTCATGATCGGTAGTATCGAATAGTGGATGTCGTTGCATAATACCTGAATTCTCCTTTGTCAAAAAGATTATAGATTCCGAATCAAATATCGTGACCTGATCGATTCTCAACGGTAAAATTAACAGAAAATATTTAACTCTCATTTTTCACAACATCACTGGCTTCGATTGTCGATACGGATAATTCGAAATTGAAGTGCACTGATCTGGATAACAAGATTCGAAATTACACAAAAAAAAATGTTGTGAACAATGAAACACGTAATTTATCATGGTAATCAACATTGGAACCATCGGAAACTAACTAATCCTTGGTTATATTCAAGCGAATACATATATCAATTGTCTCCATCGGTAATAAGATACTGGCCAAGCATTCAATCATCGCTAGATGGATCTTTGTCTAAAATACAAACGACAATAACGTATCAATTTTTCATCATCAACTTGTATCAATTCAATGAATGCTAAACAAAACGTTTTATAAACAGGCGTAGTATCACAATCGAAAGAAAGTAGTACAATATGTCGAGATCTTCAACCATTCAATGATTTTTATTTCAGCAAACGAAAAATAGAATCTTTTCAGTGTAACGTTAAACAACAAGTAATTAGAACTATGATCAACAGTCGAATGTCATTTCGAATCTATACTGAAATAGGTACATGGTATTTTCAAGTTTTATTACAACACATAGGATTGACTATAAGAGAAGCTTTCACTGAGAAAGATTGTTTGAAACATCGTAAAAGATTTTTTCGATACTGATTAGATAGTTTCTCTTTATAGATTAATCATCAGACTATGCACACAAAAGTTTACATCGATATTGGTGAATAGCTCAAACTGAAAAATAGAACGAAACATGAACCAGAAAAAAAAGAGAAATGAAACTAATATTTTATCGTTTTTTTGCGAAATAACGAACTTTTGCATTCATCACATTCCTCAACAACCTTCTGTACCACTGAAAACATGTTCTACTTACACAACCGACGTTACTGGTTCTCGTTTAGTTTTCATGACTAGTGTTTCGAATGAGAAACATGCAAACATCCTCTAATTTACGAAGCTATTTCATATTGACACTAACTTTCACTTGAATGCTTGATACTCGAAATAAGCAATCAAGATTACCAATCATTGATAAAAGAAATTTCTTTTTTTTTTCAAAGCTCTTAAAAGAACTCATTCACTTTGATTCTTCTCCTCGAATTCTAAACAGACTTCGGAACTGATTTCATCATTACTTATATTTTCTTATCATTTCTATCATTGAAATACAATTCATCGAGACATCTGCTTCAGATTATTTTATTAACAATAACAAAAAAACAATAACAATAAGAGTAATAATTGTGATTCTACGAAACATATGAACAGTCATTTAATTTAACATAATTGATTCTTAATTAAATGCTTGTTTGATAACAGCACCATATTCTCTGCCTTTCATCTTCATAAAGGCGACTTTTTCCTTGTAGACCTGATCAGTGCTTTTTCTAGCTAAATGTTCCAATACTCTTCGTTGGCATACTTGTAATCTATTATTTTTGTCTGCATCACACACAATTGACATAATATCATCTGCTGAACAAACTTCAGTCATGGTTTGTCCTAATGTTTTGCCAAAGGCTAACTTGGATTTGTCAATGCTTAAAAATTTCATAACATCTGGTTCTTGAGATATTTTCATCATCATTCCAATTGATGGACAAGCTCCAAGTTTGGCACGATAATTAGGTGAATCTTTCTTGCCAAAACATTGTTCTACCATTCCATCTTTATCACCGAATAAAGCAAATGATAACATTTGAGATCGAATTGTTGGACAGCATTGCGACACCATTTGACAACTGGCCTTGACCAAACCACGTACTGCCGGTGGAAACATTGCCCGTACTTCACGAGAAAATCTTGCAAGTTCAGCAGTATCTGCATTGATCATTGCTGGTGGAACCATAGCATCAAGATTTCCAATACCAATAAAGAAGAGAATCAAAGTGAATATGTACGACATACTTGACGTTCGATTGTGTTGTAATGGATTCAAAAAAAAGAAAATGAATGCGAATGAATATGTTCATTGAACACTGCTATTTATATTCATCGTTTAACAATGAAACGGTTGACCGATCGACCTGATAACGGTGACGGACGTGTATTTTGTATATTATCGAAAAAAAACAAAAGAAATAACGCAGAGAAAATAAAAAAAAAAAGATGACCGATGTTGTCTATTGTGTATAATAGATACGAAGATGACTGCTTGCTTTCACATTCTTTCTTTGTTTGTTGGTTACATCAGGGTGACCAACATATGATCGACACGGTGCGGCGTTCGTCGGTGAGATAAGATGACGAGACACTGAGAGAGAACATACAGTTCATAATAATTTTCTTTCATTTGTACATGCAAAGAGAGATAATGCATGTATAATTTTATAACAAAACACGATTGGATAGAAATAATGAAGCGAACATAAAGTTGATTTTGCTTATTTTGAAAATTGAAAAAAAAAATTGCTTATTTTCTCAGCATGTATACTAAAAGTCGATATGTAACATTTAATTCAAGCTTTTATTTTGATGATAGTATTATTATCTACTAAACATAATCTATACTTTATGTTTGTTACATAAACTGATATACATTTTCTTTTAAACGTATCAGATAATAAAACTAGTACATCGACATAACGGTTCCTTGTTTATTAAGCATCAGTTTATAGTTCTCATTAAAGAAAAAATATAAACATTGTTTTTTTCTTGATTGTGGAAAAATTGATTTTTGTAAACTTTCCTGACGAGGTTATAGATGTTTATAGAAGTCTTCCTTTCACATAGTGTGCATGAAAGTGTTGATAAGAATTTTCATCCATACATGTATCTACTATGAACAACTTGAATTCAACACAAAAATCGTTCATTCTCAAATTCATCTATGTTCAAACAATAGAGAATATCACGTGATAAAAACTAATAAAATGATGACGATGTTGTTTTGAATGCATAAGTTAATGTATATAAGATTCAAACTAGTAATGATTAGACAAAAATGCAATATCATTTTTTAGCAGTGTTATTGCGCTCGAGACATATCACATGACGCCTAAGGTCCTTTCTCTTGAAGATTCTTTACTTTTTTAAATTCACTAATATTTCGTCTATTCTATACGTCATTGTGTTTGACAACTCTTGTTTACAAAAAAAAAATGAATTAATTTTATCATCAAAACTGTAACACAAAATATTGAAGTGATCGTTACTCAATAATTTTCTCATAAAATTTTAGAATATACAACTCGTAAGAATATGACATTTCATGCAAGTCTTACACGACTATAAAAGATATCATTTTCAATGAAAAAGTGTTGGGCTCGGTTCCGCCAGGACTAGGATCAGGATCATCTTGTTCGTATTTGATTTAAATATTAAATCATGATGTATTATTGTATTTTTGTGATCAATCGATGTTGTTATTTGAATATGAATCGAGTAAGAGTTGCCCTATTGAACAAAGTCAGAAACTCATCATCCTCAATATTCCTTCGATTTGCCTTTTTCTTACATATATATGGGAGAATTTTTCAATTGCTTCATTTCTAACTTAAAATATCAAACTAGAACGAACTGTTTGTTTCATTAAGTTCGAAGAAAATAATTAGTAACAAATGCACTCATTTTAATATATAATTTTGTATAATATGTTATCATTGACTGGATTAAGACTTTATTCTATTTATAAATAAGATTTCTATCGAAAACAAAAGAATGTCCGAGATCGATAAGACAATTTACATCATATATTTTGTGATATGATTTATAAAACATATTCAGTAACAATTGCTTTACGAAATGATAAGTTATGTGATGCTAAACTCGTTTCATTATTCATATTTGTAATAACATGTCATATATGTTCAATCTGAAAGTTAACTTCAAGATCTCAACATCTGAATATCTGAAATTCATAGAAATAAACATGTGGAGCAACTTTCTCGCTAATGGTGCTATAAAAATTCACATATGAGGATAACAGCGACATATTTGAAATGGTCTTTAATAGTTGAGTTTAATTATTGATTGTATCTTTTCAACTTTGTTTTTTTTGTCAGTGATGGTTCTCATTGCATTTGTTTCATCCTTGAATAGACACGAGATCATACTCGATAAATTTAAACTATCATTTTAGCGAGTAGTTTTTCTTCAAGAATTATTCACATATCTGTCAACTAGAAAGATTAAAGACTATAATCAATCTATATCAGAATCAAAAATAAGTAATAAATGAGTAGAAAGTGTTCAGACCAAATGTTTGTTTATTTTTGGAGGTCCATTGAAAGTGTATCTGATAGTAGAAATTTATACTCTTTATGGATGTGCGCTTAGAAGTTTTATTTTAGTTTTTGTTCGAGAACACTGAAGAAATTGTTGAAAGAACTTACAAATCAGATTCGATGGTGAATCAACAAATTTTTACTAAGCCCCTACAAAGTCACTTTTCGAAGATGCTAAAAGTTATCGGTGTCAATGATTTTTTCTCGGACAGATACTTCTTTCTAAAATATTATATTCGAATTAAGCTGTAGATTTTATCCAAGTAAAGTAATAGGTATTTTGCGAAGAGCTCCTTTCTATGCAAAACATTTGTTGATCAAAACATCAAGTTTCTAGAGTGGTGTTCGCTCTACAAGCTGAAAAATTCAAAAAAGGTCCAAACTATTTTTTTTTTCGACTTTTCAAAGCTCATATTCGGAAAGATCACAAACTTCTGGTCCTAACCCATAACTTTTGACTTATGGAAAACTTTTTCAAGTAAGCCAAAAGTAAACAAACATTTTGTTTTGTCTGAAAACCTTGCAGCTCATTCGTTCATATAACTCGTCATAACGTCAAATTGAGCAACCATTCAACAAAAAATATAGAAAAGAAAATCGCTACGAATACTTTATATTCTACAATAAATACATCTAGCGTCCTCTTCATCATATCGAATATGATTGGCTTAAGTTGAGTAAGCAATGAATTGATTGACAAGTTGAACATTCGATCGATTGATCGACTGCATTTTAGGAAATCAATATTCAACACAAAACAAAAAAAAGAAACTTTCTAATCATTATGACAAATATTAATCTTATTGAAGCCGTTCGTTCTTATATCAATCGAATGATTGAAGATTGTGGTCCAACTATAAAAGGGCTTGTTATGGATAAAGAAACGGTTCTCACGAAAAAAAACTTTTATTTTGTTTTTGTTATTATTAATAATAATAAAATTGTTTTTTCTTTTTTAATAGGCATCTATTGTTAGTATGGTTTATGCTCAATCAGAAATTCTTCAAAAAGAAGTTTTTCTTTTTGAACGTATTGATATGGGTGGACAAAAATCATTAAAACATTTAAGTGCCATTTGTTTTTTACGACCAACAGAAGAAAATATTCAAGCATTAGTACGTGAATTACATGAACCAAAATATGGAAATTATTTTATTTGTAAATATAGATTTTTTAATTTGTAAAATAAATCTAAATAAATTATTTTTGTTTTTAGATTTTACTAATTTTGTTGAAATGAGTGATATAAAAAGTTTAGCTGAAGCTGATGAATTTGAATGTGTACGAGTTGTACAAGAATATTATGCAGATTATTTAGCTATTAATCCACATTTATATTCACTTAATATTCCAAATACTTATCAGGTAATAATCAATTATCTATGAAAAAAATTGTTTTATTTTTTCAATATTTAATAGCAAAATTATGAATGGAATGATAACTTACTTCGTCGAACAGTTCAAGGTCTTGTTTCAGTATTACTTTCATTACGTAAAAAAAGTGCAACAATTCGTTATCAAAAATCATCAAATATGGCAAGAATACTTGCTGATAAACTTTCTGTAAGATAATATGAAAAATATAGTTTCTAATTTAGGTTATTTTTTAAAAATAATCTAGAGTACTCTTAAACGTCAAGTTGATTTTACAGCATCAAATCCAAATGATATTAATCAAACAATTGTTTTAATTATTGATCGACGAGAAGATGCAATTACTCCATTACTTAATCAAGTTTGATTGATATTTATATAATTCAAGAAAAATAAATAAATAAATAAAATTCTTTGTTTTTATAGTGGACATATCAAGCAATGGTTCATGAATTGATTGGTATTAAAAATAATCGTGTTAATCTTAATCAAGTACCAAGTATTACAAAAGAACTTGAAGAAGTTGTTATGAATGCTGAATATGATGAATTTTACGCAAATGTAAAAGAAAAAAAGATATTCAATTATTAAAATCATGTTTTTTTTTTTGTATAGAATCTTTATAGTAATTTTGGTGAAATAGCAACAAATATTAAAGGATTAATGGAACATTTTCAAGAAAAACATAAAAGTCAATCAAAAATTGAATCTATTGGTGATATGAAGGTTGGTATCTTAACTAGGATATATTCCTATTATAATAAAAGATTTCAAGATATTTGTCATAAACGTAACATCCCCTTAAGATTATGAAAATTCCTTAGTTTTTGATATTCGTATTAACTATTCTTTGTATAATTTGAATAGCAAACGAGAGGACAACGGAGAACCTTATGTTCTTGTCTAAAATAGAAATTCATCTCTGTTAGCGTCATATTCTATCATATACGGTACTGATAAAAAATGTAAGACCAAAGTATTTTTTTCTACAATGCCAAGTATTTAACTCAAAATCTAAAAAGTGGTTTGAATAACCGATGCAATTCTCTATCAAATGTATTCCATACTGAAATTTGATAGATAGACTAAGAGAGAAAGGTTTCTCAGAAACTAAACACGGTAGTTATCCATTCCAAGAAAACTTAGAGTACTATTGTGAAGAACACAAAATCCTGAATAGAATGAGGAGTCGCTGATTTTCCTATGGTTTTCTCTTAAAAGTTATCAGCATCACAAAAAATGCGTTTTT